TATATATATATAACATTTTTGTGTGCAAATGTGATTAAAAATTTATGGTCTTTTTTTAAAAAGTTTTGAGTAAAACATATTCACTATTTCTTTTTTCAATATTAATGATCATTGATACTCCACCAACAAATTTTCATCATCCGACACGAATCTCGATGCATGACACAAATCTCGAGATAATATTTTAAACAAGAAATATTTAAATCTTAATAAAAAGTTATACAGAGCTCCGATTTCAGCAAACTTATAGTCAAACTGATCGACTTGATGAGACGAACCTAATGATTTAAAAACTAGCCCAATTCAAGTCAAATCAAGCCTATATCAAGTCATTGAACCACACTTAGATGATTTTCAGACACATTTGAAAGATTAAAGGGTTGTCAAAAATGACAAGTTTATACTCAAATTGAGCTTCCAAATATGTCCGAAAATCTTCTAATTATGGTTCAATAACTTGATCTGAGCTTGATTGGACTCCTCGAATTGGATTAGTTTTTATATCATTAGGTCTGTCTCATCGAGCCGGTCAGTTTGATTATAAGTTTGCTGAAATCAGAGCTTTGAATGAATTTCTATCAAGATTTGAATGTCGGGAGCCGTGATATGTCTAAGTATCAGAATGGTATTATTAATATTGGAGTTGAAAGATACCCACATTTTCAAATAAGTTGTTATTTAAGAAAATGACAATCCATTGAAAGATACAAATGATTAAACTTGGATGTTAACTATTAAATATCAAGGGATTGTTTACATACATACCACCCAATTCGTATGTATTTACATACCTGACACCTAAACTTTACTCTGTGTAATAGGGCTTACCGATATCACGGCGGGGACGGCGAAGGCGAAGCCGACGGCGACGGCGATCTTACCGATATCACGGCGGGGACGGCGAAGGCGAAGGCGAAGGCGACGGCGACGTTATTTAAAAGTTCACTTTTTTTTCTTTTCATCTGATACCGCCATGAAGGAATTATAATTTCCAAGTCAGTGTTGTGGATATTTAATTTCAATATAACTAATAAATATTAAATTTAAATAAGAATAATAAAAAATTAGCAATAATTGTCTACTCAATTTTATTGATATATTGGAAGAAAAGTTTATGTGGTATGCTTTGTTGTGAATATGGAAATCGGTCTACTATATAAATTGACATTTTCTCATGTTTTTAGATTTGATACTCGAAATTAATCGCTTCTAATTTCTTCTATAATTTGCTGTAGAAGAGAAAAAAAAAATAATGGATTTTATTAATTATTTGATTAACTCTTTAATGGGTCTATTTGCACCCTTTGTTATCTCTCTTCGGTAGTGGTACTTTTTCAGGTTCTTCTCCATAATTTGCTGTAGAAGAGAAAAAAAAAATAATGGACTTTATTAATTATTTGATTAACTCTTTAATGGGTATATAAACATGTTGCACCCTTTGTTATCTCTCTTCGGCAGTGGTACTTTTTCAGGTTCTTCTCTTGGTGTGATTCGGTTTAAAGCTCTCGGGTAGAGAGAGAGAGAGGAGAGAAGGAGAGGAGAGAGAAAAATGTAGAGAGAAAAAGTGAATTCTTGTAATCGTCAAGGCGATCGACATACGTAATTCCTCGAGCTAATAAAATCTTCTGCAGCTTCTTGGGTGTAGACAATTTGTCGAACCACTTAAATTTGTGTGTTTTCAACTTTCCGTTGTGTTTTCTGATTTTATGAATTTTATCAAACTTGTTTTTCGCTTTATTGTCGTCGTTTTGGCAATATACATGAACTCTCACGCCACATGTCCCCTTAGACCCAAGTGAGAGATGCGAGAACAACGAAGAACAAATTGATACTTCAGAATGACCAAAACTAACATTTTCAGTCATTTTGTCCTCAATTAAACCAGTCGGTGAAAACTAATTTCAATTCTATTCCTTTATCGTCCTATTCAGTTTCTTGAAATTAAACAGACCCTGAACAAAGATATATATAGAAGATAATGATTTCATTAATTTAAAAATGGAGAAACACAATGGATAGAAAAGGAACAAAAGAAACTAGATGGAAACCCTAAATCAAACAAACAACCATCTTCTATTTCTCCGCTTGGTTTGGAGAACAAGATCAATCAAACTAGAAGCAACCTCATCAGTCAGATCAACAAAAATCAAGCTTTCAATGTCTGAAACCACAACATGAACTTCACTTCCACTTCTGTCCCATGCATTCGATGGCTGGAGCAAATCCTTAGTGAATTCTGCATTCATCTGTTGAGAACTTGTATCAATGGAAGCCTGAAGATCTTTTACCTCAAAGCAAAGTTCTTTAAATTGCTGTAAACTTAACTTATTGTGTTGAAGTAAATGATCATGCTGACAACCAGAGTTGAAAGCTTCCATTTTTCTCGTTAGAATCTCATTCACCACATCACTAACCAGCTGTTTGTGAAGTTTCTGCGTATTGCTCTTTTCTATTGGCTCGACCAGCTTTATTTGGTTGAGAATGGCAGCCATGTGCGAGTCTTTTGCTAGAAGACTAGATGATAAGAGCACTTCAGCCACATATTTGTATTCTGGATCAATATTGTTTCCAGTAGCAGTTCCAGGAAATATGAATTTATGAGCTTCATCGTCTACGTTTTCTTGTTTCTGAGAATCCTTTTCGAAGCTTGTGGTTGAAGGAAGATTCTGAGGAAGATGAATTGGATTCAAGTTGTGGTCTGCAGGTAGATTCTCATCCTCTCCTGAAATGAATGATTGTTTGTTACTACAAAGGCATGGTAAAAAAAGGCTATTTGATAACTAACAAAATATGTAAATATTTTGTAATTTTTCTTTGGTTTTCAGTTTTAGAACTGAGGGAAGTTCTACGGAAGAAAGAAGAAAATTTGGTTATGAATTTCTCACCATTTGATATGCTGGAGATTGATGAAGGGGAAAGAAGCAGGCCATCCTGGTATGGCAATGCACCAAGCACAGAGTTTGGGCTTGATAATTGAGGATCTATCTTCTCAAGCTCTTCCACAGAAACAACTTTTTTTGGTAATATTTGATGTTGCTGAAGAAAAATAAAAGACATAGGGTTGATTTAAGAAAATAGCAATGTGAAATAGAAGATTCTAAGAAGAATCTAAGAGATTATATAACTCATCTTCAAACCAAAATTCAAAAACAGCAGCATTTCAATATTTTAATGCTGATGTTACAATTGTCACAATTTTCATGCATCAATTAAAGACAATATGAGCTAAACAAAAAGCTTCAATTAACTGAATTCTGAATATTTCAAATAACCGAAAGGAAATTGAAATAAAAAAAAAAATAGAATTCAAAAGACATAGCACAATTTACCTTGTATTCTGAGACTGAAGCTACAGTGGTGGCTCTCTTTCCCTTTATTTCGTGAAATGTATGTGATTTCACTTCATTAAGTTGTGCCTTGCTTGATTTCTGTTTGATTCTACTACTTGGAGACACTGACTCTGATTGTTGCCGATTATCAGATGGTTTTTGGTTCTTTTCCAATTCATAAGATGTAATCAGAGCACAGTATTTCCTCTCATGGCATGAATTTGCTCTCTTCTGCAACCTTGGACTTCTGAAGTTATCTTCTTCTCTTTTAATGGTTTCTTTGGCCAAGGAATTCAAGCTCTTAGCAGTCTTTCTTTTTGGAGTTTGTTCTTCATCTGTAATCAAAGAATCCTTCTTTTTTGTACTCAGATCACATGTTTTAATCTTTCTAAGACCTGATGGCCCTTCAAATTTAGCACATGGGGAGGAAGAAATACCAGCTGACTTGCTTTCAGGTTTCATACCGAAAAATGGAGACTTTAAAGCTCGTTCTGAAATAATTGCTCTTTCTGACTTATTGGTTGGCCTCAAGCTTTTCGCTGAATTCTTTCTTTCTAATACAGCACGTCTGAGATCTCTTGTTTCCTTGCTGTTATGTTGGAACTCAAGCTTCTGCAACTTGTTCTCTATCGCATTATAAACTGATTCAATTTTCTGCTTCATATTGCCTTCAAATGCCATATTCTGCTGAGTCTCTTCAACAACTAATCTTGAATTGGAATTGGATTTCATATGGGGGTTGATACTAATGCGAGACTTGGGGGACTTGCCATGTTTGTTTTCCTCTTTCCATTGGCTCCTGACTGGTTCATGAACTTTAACAGAACTTTCTCTTGCAGAATCAATTGGCTCCAATCCCATAAGCTTTGCAACAATACTGGTGTTATTTTCATTGCTTCTAAGGTTTTGATTAGGATTTGAGGCTTCAGATATTCTAGAATTGGTTTTCATCTTTAATTCCATCATAAATGAGTTGACTTTGGAATTGAAGTCACGCCTCAGCGAATCTTCCATGCTGTCCAAAGAGAATCTCTTCTGTTCTTTCTGTGTAGCTGCTCTTTTGATACACGTGGATATCCTTCCATCAGATGAAAACCGTGGTGAGCTGCCTACTCCATTGAAATTATTAGGGAATTCTCTAAGTTTGATCAAAATCTCAAGTGATTCTTCAAGCTCTTTCATTTTTGACAGATCAGTAGGTCTTGGAGAGTCCACTGGTTTCAGGACTTTGTTTCTTTTGTTCTCCACCTTCGTCTTTTCTTTGATTGACACATTTTTTAGATCTTTGCGTGCAGATTCTTTGATGCTCTCTCTGAAGCCAGGGGATTGATTGATATCTGTGCTCCTTGGCTTTGCTGAATTCTTTGGTGATTTTACAGAAGAAAATGAGTGCTCGGAGGATTTTGGTTCTTGTTTTGGTAATCTGTGCTTGCGTGAAGAACATGATGTGGATGAAGAAGAAACAGAGGTTCTTGTTGATAATTCCATGGAAGACCTCGAGTTTTCTTGATAACTCCTGCTTGGATTCTGCTCCTGAGAAATGCAATTCCATCATGATGAATCTCTTAAAAATACAGACACTTAAAACATAAACCAAAAATAAACCAAAAAAACAAAAATTTTCCTTTTTTTTTTTACTTCGCATCAAACCATACCAATTTGCAGAATTCTGGGTAGTCAGCTCCCTCCTCACAGAGGCTTATTATTGCATCAGCTGTAAATTTGCAATGATCATTCAAATCATACCAAGTGAACATAATATCTTATAAATTACACTTCAAGATAAATAAAATATAAATCTGTAAAGAAATATAAATAATTGAAGCCTCGTAGATGACAACAGTTGTCTTCATATACAGATTATCTGGTATATAATTAAAAAAACAAGACTGCTTTTTTATTTGATTTACTTAATCTAAAAGATAGCCAAAATTAAGAAAAAAAATTACAGAAAGCCAATCAGTACCTGAAGGACTCTTCCTGAGGTATTGCCCATTCAATTTTTCTGAGCTGAGTAGAAACTGGCGATCAAATAATTGAAAGATGCCAGTCAGACAACCAGCTGATTTCTTTGACGATTTATCTTCATTCCTCAACCAATAGGAAAACTTCGTTGACATTTTTTTTTCTCAAATTAAATATTCCCACCTTAAAAGACAAAACTAGTGCCAAAGCGATGATGCAATCTTCAGGATTAAATTTAAAAAGTTGTTTTTGAAATAACCATTTAGCGTTACAGATTAACAAAACTCAACAAAAACCTTTAAAAAAGTAAAAGTTTTGTATCTTTCTGATCAGCTAGAATCTCTTCTTCTTCTTCTTCTTTACTTCCAGTGGTAATTTTTTTCCTCCCTTAATTATACTTTGATCACTGAACTTCTATCCATAAAACAACAAATTAAGTCGGAGAAAAGAAAGCCTGAAGCTTTACTACAGAAGATCCAGTTTTGAAGGAATGAAGAAGAACAACAAAGGCGAAGAAGGCTAAGAATCTCAGCTCGTATGCAGAACTTGAAAGTAGAAGAAGAATTATATGAATATGATGAGCACAAAGGAATGAGAAGTGCTAAGGTTTTATTAATGGCAGAAAGTGGAGCAGTGCGCTGATGAGTGTGGAACCTACAGAGCATGGTCATGTTGGATTCGAATTCAAATGTGGGTCTGACTTGTCTTCATTAAGCATATGATGGCTGTCAGGAGAGATAGAATTTCAGTCCTTAAAAAATAAATTGGTGTGCTCCAATACTAGCACAATTGTTTAAAAAAAAACTATTCTCATTTTTTAAAGAGAAACCAAGTCCTGAAGAACTGTCTGAAATGTTTTGTAATTAAATAACATGAAGGAAGCCTTGCATACATACCGCTATGTAAATTAAATCCTAGTTGCTGAGCTAAACTTTAATTTTTACATAAATGCATCTTAGATTACCATCACAAAGTTATATTTCACATTTTAAAACTTAAAAATAGTGATATATTTTTATATGATATGAAAGTTTTTGCATGGTATAAATATAAAAAGTAAAGTTTTTGTGTCAAATAGGTAAATACATAGGAATTGGTTGGTATGTACATATATGTAAATGCCTCTAAAATAAATCTATGTCAAAATTTTGTTTTTCTTTTTCTCTAGCTCCATTATCCACTTTAAGAACCAAACTTGAAGATAAAACTAGTCTGTCATTTACTCATGAATCATTATAATCGCAGCAGTATGGCTTTATTTCTGAAGGCTCTTTATACTACCTAATTTGTTTTCATAATTTGATTGTCCATGTTTTATTATGAAATTTGGAAGTAAAATGTGTAGAGCTGGAAACAGTCCATGTTCTCTGAGAAGTTGATTAGGCTGTCCTGAAGCAGATGATAATGAGATGAGTCTATTCTGCACAGAAAATTGAGTGGAATGAAACAGGCAAATAGATAAATGAGAAGGGAACAGAAAAGTTTAGGCCATGCAAGTAAATAACATAAGGTGTATTATCTTTGTCTATTTGTTTTGTTTAGGTAGCAAAGACATGTGAGATGTTCGATGCAGTATTGCATGCCATGGCAGCTTGTCTGCTGCTTTTACATAACAAGGTCCCATAATGAGGGAGATGGGAGAGAGATATCTTGATTATTATTATTATTTTTTTCTTTTTCTTTTTTTTTGGAAGATTTACATAAGTACCACACAATTCTTGTTTATTTACATTTCTATGGCATAAACTTCCATTTTTACATGTATATATGCCATCTTATCTATGTGATATGAAATTTTAGGGTGGTAAAAATGTAATAATAAAGTTTAGGTGTTGGATATGTAAATATATAAGAATTGGGTGGGTGATATGCATGTAAATGCCTTGTTTTTTTTTTCCCCTTAATCGAGGCATTATAAGAAAAAAATAAATTTATCTATCCTAGTTTTAATCCATGTAATCTATTAAAGTTATGATCGAGGCATTATAAGAAAAAAATAAATTTATCTATGCTAGTTTTAATCCATGTAATCTATTAAAGTTATGTAATACATTTATTTGGGCTAGGGGTATATTTACACACATACCACTCAATTTTTATGTATTTACATATCTACCTTCTAAATTTTACTTTTTATATTCATGCCACCTAAATATTTCAAGTAAGGTGGCATATATGCAATAATTGAAGTATGGGTGTGTTATGTAAATCTTCCTTTTCCTTAAGAATCCTAAGTAGAAAATTCAGTGATATGACTTCGAAGCTGTGCCCTTGTCAAGAAAAATGAAAACTCATACCACGGCAGCAATCAGTTCGCTATAAATAAAAAATAAAATAATAAATTTATATGATCAGAAAGTAATATTTAAATCAATTTGAATTTTAAATTTAAATCTAAATTATTTTAAATTCAAATCATAATTAAATCTAATTTCAATTAAAATTAAAAAAATAAATTAATCAAATAAATTCCAAAGAAGATGCCACGGAACAAAAGGATAAGCAATTTTATTTATTTATTTATTTATTATTTGTCAATAAGACAAATTCACCCCATAAGCCTATATAATAATTTGATGAAAATAGTCAACAAACTGCATCGTTTTTTCAATATAAAGGTGCGGTCTTATCTCACATTTTACCAAATATATAATTGAGAATGGAGTCAATACGCTATTAGAAAACGTGAAATGTGTTGGGAGCATCTCCACCTGGCCAAAGGAATCCCTGATCATTTTTGTAGGAAATTATTTACAATAATCGTTGATTGTCTAATTTGATGATATGTTCGAGGGGCATTTGCATAAATATCACCTAATTTTTATTTTTATGTATTTATATATCTATTGAATTTTGATATGCACGTGAAATGCATTCTAAGAGTTATAATATAAGACAGAAGAGAGAGACGTGGGAGAGAGAGAATTATACAACAATGAATAATAATCGGTCATTTCTCATAAAATGATCCTCATACTTATAGAAAAGGGGTACAATATCTGGGCGTTACACGATATTTAAGGTAGTTCACTTATGTGAATTTATGGATTGGCTACCTCCTGGTTGGGTTGTTTAGCTTAGTAGACTTTGGTTCAGTGAGACTTGCTCGGTCAGCTATGTCTAGTTAGCGGAACTGGTCGGTTGATCTCACCTAGCTTCAGGTCGGTATGACCGCTTTAGTGCCCGTTTGGGGCAGCTTATTGGGGTGCGGTGACGGTATGCGAATGCCGCCTATATGTTTGTAAAACACATTCGCTCAGAATTAATTTCACCGTGTCGAATGCACTTAAGGGTTTTCGTTAATAGTGCGTGAAGCGGGATTGGGGGCCGCGTCCTACATTGGATTCTCGCATTAGGGTGAAGATTTCCTCCCGTGCCATTCTCTGCTATGCCTCGCCCTCGCCGCCGTCTCGAGCTCCTTCGTCGTTTACCTTCTTCCGTGCGGCCCCTTTCATCCTGAGCCAAAGTCAAGGTCGTTCGTCCTCGACATCTTGCATCGCGAGCTGAATTCATGCGAGGTCCTTTGTTCGTGTTCATCAACAAGGAGGGAACCACAAATCTTCAGCTGACGCTAGATGAATTCACCGATTTCTTTCTTCTCGCATCATTGCCTTTTCTCGCATCATTGCCTTTCTTCTCGCATCGAACGCTTTTCTTCTTCGCATCGTTGCTTTTTCTCACATCACTGAACGCTAGGTAAATTCACTGAACCAATATTTTCTACCTTTTTTGTAAGGCATTTTTCTGATTCTTCATAAGGAAATGAGAATTATGGGTTGTTTGGTTGTAGGATTTAGCTTAAATACGTCCAAACAACAAAAAGGACATCTTTAATTCCTACAAGTTCTTAGGTTCTTAAATCTAGTTTTTTCTCTATTTTGGCTTCAGTCTAGGATTTGGATAATCCATCATCAAAGGCAACTTTCTTGTAGTCACTCAGAGATCCACTCAACTATCTTTCTCAAATAATTCTCAAGCAAAGGAGATACAACACCCTCGACAGCCCATTTGTTTAAGGGCAACCATGGCTTCCATGAGCAAAGCTGAAGTGAACTTGTTGATTGATTTATTTTTTGCAAGCTATGACAAACAGGGGTAGAATAATCATTTATCCAATAACAACTGCCAATAAGTCGTTCTGAATAAACTCCCCCAAACAACAAGCCAATTATCTTAATAATCTACATATTATTAGATTATTAGAATAATTCAATATGATGAGCACAAAGGAATGAGAAGTGCTAAGGTTTTATTAATGGCAGAAAGTGGAGCAGTGCGCTGATGAGTGTGGAACCTACAGAGCATGGTCATGTTGGATTCGAATTCAAATGTGGGTCTGACTTGTCTTCATTAAGCATATGATGGCTGTCAGGAGAGATAGAATTTCAGTCCTTAAAAAATAAATTGGTGTGCTCCAATACTAGCACAATTGTTTAAAAAAAAACTATTCTCATTTTTTAAAGAGAAACCAAGTCCTGAAGAACTGTCTGAAATGTTTTGTAATTAAATAACATGAAGGAAGCCTTGCATACATACCGCTATGTAAATTAAATCCTAGTTGCTGAGCTAAACTTTAATTTTTACATAAATGCATCTTAGATTACCATCACAAAGTTATATTTCACATTTTAAAACTTAAAAATAGTGATATATTTTTATATGATATGAAAGTTTTTGCATGGTATAAATATAAAAAGTAAAGTTTTTGTGTCAAATAGGTAAATACATAGGAATTGGTTGGTATGTACATATATGTAAATGCCTCTAAAATAAATCTATGTCAAAATTTTGTTTTTCTTTTTCTCTAGCTCCATTATCCACTTTAAGAACCAAACTTGAAGATAAAACTAGTCTGTCATTTACTCATGAATCATTATAATCGCAGCAGTATGGCTTTATTTCTGAAGGCTCTTTATACTACCTAATTTGTTTTCATAATTTGATTGTCCATGTTTTATTATGAAGTTTGGAAGTAAAATGTGTAGAGCTGGAAACAGTCCATGTTCTCTGAGAAGTTGATTAGGCTGTCCTGAAGCAGATGATAATGAGATGAGTCTATTCTGCACAGAAAATTGAGTGGAATGAAACAGGCAAATAGATAAATGAGAAGGGAACAGAAAAGTTTAGGCCATGCAAGTAAATAACATGAGGTGTATTATCTTTGTCTATTTGTTTTGTTTAGGTAGCAAAGACATGTGAGATGTTCGATGCAGTATTGCATGCCATGGCAGCTTGTCTGCTGCTTTTACATAACAAGGTCCCATAATGAGGGAGATGGGAGAGAGATATCTTGATTATTATTATTATTTTTTTCTTTTTCTTTTTTTTTGGAAGATTTACATAAGTACCACACAATTCTTGTTTATTTACATTTCTATGGCATAAACTTCCATTTTTACATGTATATATGCCATCTTATCTATGTGATATGAAATTTTAGGGTGGTAAAAATGTAATAATAAAGTTTAGGTGTTGGATATGTAAATATATAAGAATTGGGTGGGTGATATGCATGTAAATGCCTTGTTTTTTTTTTCCCCTTAATCGAGGCATTATAAGAAAAAAATAAATTTATCTATCCTAGTTTTAATCCATGTAATCTATTAAAGTTATGTAATACATTTATTTGGGCTAGGGGTATATTTACACACATACCACTCAATTTTTATGTATTTACATATCTACCTTCTAAATTTTACTTTTTATATTCATGCCACCTAAATATTTCAAGTAAGGTGGCATATATGCAATAATTGAAGTATGGGTGTGTTATGTAAATCTTCCTTTTCCTTGAATCCTAAGTAGAAAATTCAGTGATATGACTTCGAAGCTGTGCCCTTGTCAAGAAAAATGAAAACTCATACCACGGCAGCAATC